CTGTGTGTGTGTGTGTAACCCAAGTTCCCTCACCTGCCACCCTGTTTGCCAGGAGCATCAGAGACACACACAGCAGACGAGGAAAGAAAAGAAGACGAGGCTGAATAATAAAAAGTCTCCATCTTTGTTTCTCCTTCGCCTCCTGCTGCTCACCTTTCACCTACATTCTGAACACACACACATTACACATTACACTATCTGGCTAATATTAATATATGATTACGACTGTTATCTAAGTCTGTTTCCAGCATTCATGGATAGTCATGTCTTAAAAAAAGTCTTAAAAAATAATAATGTGCATTTATTGACAACTCTGTGAAAAATGTTTGTTTTAATAAAATAATATCATTAAGACTTGACGATCACATACTGTAGTTTGTGCACTGTTTTTTGTCCCGTTTAGCACTAACTGAGGGTCACCAAGTTTGTGTGTGTGTGTTTAATTACAGCAGCACGTGTGTGTCAGATGTGAAATAACTCACTGAGATGATCCTGAGGTGACAACACATAATAACAGAGGGAACAAATCATAACCAGAGTGCGCTAACAATACACACCGCCCAGTGTGTGTGTGTATGTGTGCGTGTTCCCCACCCTGGCCTCAATGACACCCCGAGGATTGTGGGTAATGAGGATGCTTCACCACACTTTCAGATGAGATGCAGTGATTTAAAGACGACACGTTTCCGTTGTTTCAGAAAATAGATTTTGTGGGCGGAGCTCTGCAGTGTGTGTGACTTAATTAAAGTTCATTATATTTATAAACCGCAATAATCCAGATGTTTCTCAGGGGGTTAAGGGGTCTGTAAAGGGCGTAGGGTTCATTTTAACACACATATATAAACTGTGGGGTCTGGAGGCGGGACATTTGGGAATTAAACACTTAATTTCCTGCTTTTTGGGGAATCTTTCTGCACCAATTTCTCATTTCTTGCCATAACGTTCAGACTGTGTGAGAAGTGAAGGAAAACCATGCAACAATTTAGAATATAGTATATTGTAATGGAGATTCTCATGATTTTATGATCTCTTTAAGGTTTACTCTTAAACTTCAGGGAATTATGAAAATATTTTGATTTTAAGTGTGATAAATTGTGTATTAAAACCTATTTAAATATTTAACGCAGAATCACTTTGAGTTTCAGCAACTGAGTGTGACTTAAAGGGGACCTATCATGCAAAATGCACTTTTGTACGTCTTTTATACATGAATATGTGTCCCCGGTGTTCCAGGGAACTCACCAAGTGTCAGAAAACACAACCCTCTCTATTTTCCTCCATACCCAAATCTCTAAAAAAGGGGCTGCAAACGGATCTGATAAAAACTGATCCAGATTTGAACACTGTCCTGACGTCAGGACGGTGGCGCTACGGCTATTGGGCCAACTCCACCAATCAGGAGGAGACAGCCACGGCCATTGCCGTTCGAAAGCGCTGGAGACGTTGTAGTACATATGCCAGGCCTCGTAGATGGTTGCTGTTGCTCACAGAATCAAACCCTTGCTAAAACAGATCTAAAAAATGTCAAATTGAGCAAAATGAGGCATGGCTAAAATGCATGATCTGTTTTGGTATTTTGAAAAAAAAAAAGTATAAATATGCCTTATATAGGTATGGTCCTACACTATATTATTCAACTATAGCATGATAGGTCCACTTTAAGTTAAGATTTTAGGCTTATTTGTGAATCATTTGAATAAAAACACATTATATGAATATCTAAATTGTCATTTTTCCACTGAGTTGGAAAAACGATGTGCTAATTTCCGCCCATTTTCTTTTACGGAAAGACAAATGAATCCCAGTAAGGCTAAATATTAACAGATGTGAATAAAAGACACACAAAAGGACCAGAATTTATGAATCAATTATTATTATTATTATTGATCCCACTGCGACGTCAAGAGAAGAGAAAACATTTTTACATTCTGTTGGTTCATGTCGGCCGTTTAGTCCAATCAGGCGTCAGATCCCTCAAACATAAGGAAGTCCACGTCCAATCAGATGTCAGATCCTCCAACAAAAAAAAATTCTAGACCAATCAGGCGTCAGAACTTCAAACATAAGGAAGTTCACGTCCATCAGGCGTCAGAACTTCAAAAATAAGGAAGTTCACGTCCAATCAGGCGTCAGATCCTTAAAAAACTGGAAAGCTCACATCCAATCAGGCGTCAGGAGCTTCAAAACATAAGGAAGTACACGTCCAATCAGGTGTCAGAGCTTCAAAACATAAGAAAGTTCACGGTCCAATCAGGCGTCAGATCCTTAAATAAAGTGAAGTTCACGTCCAATCAGATGCAACGACCATAAAAACTCAGGAAAATAACGTCCAATCAGGCGTCAGATCCTCAAACATCAGGAAGTTCTTCTCCTTTAAAGCTTTTATACAAAAATATGGCGACCCCTACATGTCACATCGTCTGATCAATAAATCAACAAAAAATACAATCAGGATATGCAAACGTACATTTTTATATATAGATCTAGATCTCTCCAAGGAATAGAAGCACTAATATATACACACACACACAAAGGACACACACACACACAGACAGCTGTTGGCTTTTTGGGCCAAACCTTTTCACCTGCAGAAAATCTCTAAAAACTGCATTTCCCAGAATGCAACTGGTCTCTGTAATGCAGCTTCCCAGCAGGGCCATAGAGATGATTTGAGATGTAATGAGCGACCAGTATTTAAGGTAGTCACAACATTTCAACCGATGCCTTATCATTGTTTCTGTATGGTTTAGATGCAATATAAGTTCTTAATTGTTAAGATCACATGTACGATTCGTAGTTCTGGGGGAAAATACATTTATTCTCACTTTGGTTTTCTGCGTTTTGGTCTAAATGTATATCAGCAACAGGTGTAAAAGGACAACCTGGATGTAGAAATGTAAAGCTGAAACAGTAAACAGAAAAAAGCAGCATTTTGTATAATCTAATAACATTTATTTAATACATTTCTGAATAAAAAAACAAATGCAAATGTTGATCGTGTGATTGTCATCTGGATATCTTTGGATTACGTTTCGTTAATCAGACCAAAATGAGGCTCTGAGACGAGGTCTAGGGCGCTTTCTGTTATATTATCTGATATTTAATGAAACCAATTAGCTGCATTCATTGCCTTTTATAATAATAATTAGCTATAGCCATGAATCCACGCACGCTCTGAACAGTCAACGGGCGACTTTGAGAGGCAACGCAGCTTTTATCCAACGTGTTTTTTCCTGAAATCATGGATTATTTTACTGAGGATGGTTTAGGAATATGTAATTTAAGATACACTTATGAAGATGCTTTGATTGAATTCATGCTTGTTTTTTTTTTTAAAATAGGGCAGTTTTCTTCTCGTTTTAAACCAGCGAGAGAAGGAGTCGTCAATGAGAAAAACTCCAGAGCTATTGGATAGAATCTGAGATGTGAAAAGTGAATGAAGTCTGGTTACTGTGTTCAGAAAAACAAAAAGTTTGAGTGTGGAAAATGCCGGTTTTAACTTGGTAACTTAATAATTTTAAACAGTTTGGAAAAGGACCCAACATAGAACCAGCTACTGGAGCCCAGCCAAACTGCGGATAAATACAGGTTAACTAAAGGTACATTTAAAAAGTAAAACACAAACTCCTGTCAGAGATCATAAGTGAGAATTTAAGATCCAGTCACACCACCTATTTACCCGTTTAGCTGTTTGCATTAGCATTTTTATTTATGGTATTCTCTACTTTTCTAGCTTTGGTAATTTTGGTGGAAAATACTTTTATTTAGAATTCGGTTTCCTGCGTGAAAATGTAATATTTTGGTCGTAAGAGAAACCTGAATGTAAAGCGGACGTTAGTGGTATATTGAAGTTATTTGATGAATATATAATTAAAAAAAGAGACCTGTAAGTGGAGGTTTTTATTGTCTTATGGAGTGATATCAAAAACCCTCCGTCTACCGGCAGAAAAACTCAAAACCGATGTCATGTGAAAACACACAGTTTTAACTTGTAAAATACCATCATTTAAGGAGACAATACAAGTCAAGTGTCAATAATTGTTATTTTCCAAGCAAATGGGTCAAATGTTCAAGTTAAGGAACATGTAATGGGCATTTTTTTCCTATCAAATTAAGGACTAAATATCGGCAGATCTGCAGCCAATAAATTGAAGAGAATCATAGATAAATGGAAATGTGTTTTTAATGTCATCCAGAGGGGCCGATATGCCTTCTGCAAAAAACAACGTTGCCTCTAAAGTTACCAAGAAATCTGCTTCCTTCGTTGTTATTGTTCCTCTTATGAAGCAGCTAATTATCGACACAGGAACCAGACATTCAACAGTAACTTTTTTAATCTGTTCCCACAAACACTCGCTGCTCAGAATCTCGACCTCGTCTTAAATTCAAGAGTTAAGACGGAAACATCAGCCGCGGAGAAGATTGGAGCTAAAATATTTACAAACGACAGTGTTAGTTCCCAGAGGAACGAAGGCCAAGCGTTTGACACACACACACACACCAACACACACCATCACACACTAACACACACAACACACACCAACACACACCATCACACCTCCACACACACACCACACACACACACACTACACACACACACACACACACACACACACACACACACACCACAACACCACACACAACACACCACACACACACACACACACACAACACACACAACACACACACACACACACACACACCAACACACACACACACACACACACACACACAACACACACACCACACAACACACACACACACCACACACACACACACTAAAACGTCCTAAAAGGAAGCGGATCTTTAGAAAATTAAAATAAGACACGAGTCGAGTTCCAGCGATGGATTAAAAAATAAAAATAAAAGATCATTTTGTGATTGGTGGGGGGAGGAAGGAGGGGGGGCGGAGCGATCGTTAGTGAGGGTCCGTCTGAGCTTGATGCTTCTGATCTGATTCAGCATGTTGCCCCCCCCCTCCTGGGCAGAGGGTCGGGGGGGGGGAGGGGGGCGGGGGATCCAGGGGGTGATGGGGACAGCGAGGCCCAGAGAGGAGGCCTCATCCTGGGCAGAGGACGCCTGGAAACTGAGTGGTGCTTCTGCTGCTGAGAGGTCAGGTCGGGGTGAGGCTGGAGCTGCTGCTGCCGTTGTATCTGCTGTTGTTGTTGTTGTTGTTGCTGGATCTGCAGTTGTTGTTGCTGCTGCTGTTGAAGTTGTTGTGGTTGAAACTGTTGTTGTTGTTGTTGTTGCTGCTGTTGAAGTTGTTGTTGCTGGATCTGCAGTTGTTGCTGCTGCTGCTGTTGAAGTTGCTGCGGTTGAAACTGTTGTTGTTGGTTGTACTGTTGTTGTGGGATTTGTTGTTGTTGTTGTTGTTGCTGCGACTGAATCTGACTGCGTTGCTGCAGCTGCTGATGGTGGTTTTGTTGTTCCTGTACCTGTGGCTGGTGGGGTTGAAACTGCCTGTAGCTGGATCTGCTGCTGTTGGATCTGTAGTTGCTGCTGTTTGTTGTTGTTGCTGTTGTAGTTGTTGTTGTTGTTGGTTGTTGTATGGTAGTTGCTGCTGCTGTAGTTGCTGATAGTGATTCAGCTGGTTGCCTTGCTCCTGCACTTGTTGCTGGTACAGTTTGGCGTTGCTGCCCTCCCGGTGGTACGGTGGGAATCGGCACTGGGATTGGCATTTTCCCGGCACCAGTTGGTAATGAGGGGGAGGAGTGGGAGGAGTGGGAGGAGGGGGGGAAGGGCGCAGAGACTCTGGGTGGAGGTGCACAGTTGCTGTAACCCAACCCTCCTGCGGCGGAGTTGAAGATGAGCTCCTCGCTGCCGGTTTTCCTGCCTTAATGGGAACCGTGGTGGGATGCCAGATGGGAATGGGCATCCCCACCGCTGATGGTTCCCCTGCGATACGCCGGTTTTGACGATGGTTCCGACGGTATGGTGGCGGTGTGGGAGGGCGGCGGCATTCTGATGATGGCGTCCGGAACGACTCGTCAGCTCCGGTTCGGCCAATAGGCTGACGGTTGGAGGCGGGACGTTTGGACTGAGCGAACTTCCTGTACTGGAAGCTGAGGTCGGAGTTCCTCGGCATGGTGGAGGATTTTGTCGAATGTTCCGACTGGTTGGTGTTTTCCCAGAGAGAGGGTGGTGCAAGGAGTCGGAGGTCTCCGTGGAGAGAGATGGACTCGTAGTCAACTGGAGGGAGGAGAGAGGAAATATATATTAGATGCTGTTGAGGTACAGATTAAGGCAAGTAGTAGTGAGGGAAGGAGAGGAGAGTAAATGAGGAGATAAGAAAAGCGGTGAGGAAAGTTAACAAGGAGTGTTAGAGCCACAATGAAGTCAAAGTTATTATTTAGATTCATCATTTTGATAAATGAATATTAATGACGGAAAATGATTCATATTGCCATGGGTGAATATCTTTTGATGAAATGATTGTTCATTTTAAATCGTAAATATGATCTGTTTCCTTGAATCACAGATCAAGGTTAATTATAGTCTGGTTTTTTTCTCTAGTTTGATCTAGCAAAACTGATTCTATCCTTTATTTCTACCATACATTTCTATATGCTGATGTTCAGGTGTATAGTATCAGTATGTAGTGTCTCTACTTTAAAGAGTCCTCTCCTGCTGATGTTCAGGTGTATATCAGTTAATGTAGTGTCTCTACTTTTAAAGAGTCCTCTCCTGCCTGATGTTCAGGTGTATATCAGTATGTAGTGTCTCTACTTTAAAGAGTCCTCTCCTGCTGATGTTCAGGTGTATATCAGTATGTGAGTGTCTCTACTTTAAAGAGTCCTCTCCTGCTGATGTTCAGGTGTATATCACTATGTAGTGTCTCTACTTTAAAGAGTCCTCTCCTGCCTGATGTTCAGGTGTATATCAGTATGTAGTGTCTCTCTACTTTAAAGAGTCCTCTCCTGCTGATGTTCAGGTGTATATCAGTATGTAGGTGTCTCTACTTTAAAGAGTCCTCTCCTGCTGATGTTCAGGGTGTATATCAGTATGTAGTGTCTCTACTTTAAAGAGTCCTCTCCTGCTGATGTTCAGGTGTATATCACTATGTAGTGTCTCTACTTTAAAGAGTCCTCTCCTGCTGATGTTCAGGTGTGTATATCAGTATTGTAGTGTCTCTACTTTAAAGAGTCCTCTCCTGCTGATGTTCAGGTGTATATCAGTATGTAGTGTCTCTACTTTAAAGAGTCCTCTCCTGCTGATGTTCAGGTGTATATCAGTATTGCAGTGTCTCCTACTTTAAAGAGTCCTGTGGGAGAGAAACTCCCTCTGAAGGGAACACAGGGATGTTAGCCTTTGCAGACCATTGACATGCACTAAAATCTACAGGAACACAATACTGGAAAGGGAAAACCCCAAAGCTCAATAGGGATTCTTTTAAAGGCCTCTGTTTATGTTTATATCCATATCACATTATATACACTTCCATCTAAACAGTCTTATTTTTGCCGCACTACTCATCCATGCAAAGACAAAGTGTTTTTAAAGAGTTCCGTATTTGGCAGTATTTGTGCAGTAATGAATACACACAACTGGATAAATGAGAACTTATTTATTTCTAGTTTTCCAGATGTGAATCATCCAGACTTGTCTGTGTTTCTTTGATTCTACATTCATCATGGAGGCATGGGAGGAGAACACAGATTTCTATCAGAATTCAAGGTAACACAGGGTGAGTAGTTGATATAGAAATGGTTAATTTGTGGGTCAAGTGATCCCTAAATGTTCGTATACAAACAGTTTGCATATCGTATGTGGTGTTAAGATTCATTTCAAATTAACTGCAACTCAATGGAATGTTTCTGCCTAAAAAAAGCTCAATTATCTCTGGGTTTATTTGAATTAATCATGAGCAGAAAGCTGGGATGCAGACATGCGATCAGCTGGCGACGCTGAGAGGTTAAAACAGGCAGAAGACAGACAGGAAGTCAGAGACCCTACCATAGATAGGAGGCTCTCTCTTTACAGCTGGAAGAGAAGAAGGACGTTTAGAAAACACACAACAGAGAGGGAGACACCAGAAACACACAGGATACAGAATATAACTGAGACCACGACTGATGTATGAAACACAGAGGATACAGAATATAACTGAGACCACAGACTGATGTATGAAACACAGAGGATACAGAATATAACTGAGACCACAGACTGATGTATGAAACACAGAGGAACCAGAATATAAACTGGGACCACAGACTGATGTATGAAACACAGAGGAACCAGAATATAACTGGGACCACAGACTGATGTATGAAACACAGAGGAACCAGAATATAACTGGGACCACAGACTGATGTATGAAACACAGAGGAACAGAATATAACTGGGACCACAGACTGATGTATGAAACACAGAGGAACCAGAATATAACTGAGACCACAGACTGACGTATGAAACACAGAGGAACCAGAATATAACTGAGACCACAGACTGATGTATGAAACACACACCGGACAGCTGGGAGCCACACAGAGGATTAGAGCTGGCTGAGTGTGTGTTAATGGAAGTGCTGTCAATCGATTTAAAAACAGTAATGAATAAATCACAACAATAATCTGAATATAAATGTATATGGGGGCGTGTGGTGCAGTGGGTTTGTCCGTTGGTGTTGGGATCAGGGGGTCGAACCCCACTGCAGTCAGCATGTCGTTGTGTCCCTGAGACACTTCACCCCAAAGTGCTCCTGTGGGGATTGTCCACAGTACTGAGTGTGTAAGTCGCTTTGGATAAAAAAGCGACTAACAAGTAACATTTTCGTGTTGAGAAGGGTGCTATATAAATAAAGTTTGACTTACTTACTTACTTACATGTAATGTAATTGTAATAAAGAAATTCACGTGAACTGTTTCCTTACACGTGGTTTCAGGCTATAGATATGAAAGGGGCTGACAGTAAATAAAAAGCATGACAGCAAAAGAAACCTACCCTTTAGGAAGTGTAAACAAAAATGGTGTTTTATTATGAAATAGTGGCGGGTTGCATTCAACATTTTGAATGCCGTATGGCCTGTTTCTGTATTACGTCTTTTCTGAGCGTCAGTGTCTTTTTTCAATAGCGCTCCACCGTTTTTTGAGCGGCCATCACAGCAGAACATGGAGGAGCGGCTTGTTTCTCTCTGGGTCTATAAGATGGAGACTATCAAGACAAAGGCAGAACAGAGCGACTGAATGTTGCTGCTGGAGAGTGGTGTAATCTCACGGTGCTTAATATACCCGGTCGTCCTTCTCGCTCTTCATACTAAGTGTGAGAACAAGTATCCTCTGGTTGGTTTAAAAGTAAAAAAACATGTCAAACAAATGGAAAATAAAAAACACACAGGGGCGATGCTAGTCTGTCAATAGCAGTAATACTCTATTTATAATAATATGTTGACTATCAGTTGTTGCAGGTTTAAGTCTAGTAGGGTGCAGTTTTTTTAAGCAGTCACAAATTTAATCTAATATTTAAAATACAAATTTTGTAAGTGAAAACGTATTTCGCAATCTGTCACTTGCAGAGTATTTCCTGTGTGTGTGTGTGTGGTGTGTGTGTGTGTGTGTGTGTGTGTTGTGTGTGTGCTGTGTGTGTGTGTGTGTACTCACTGTGTGTGTGTATGGTGTCCTCGGAGCAGGAGGGGGTGGTGGTCTGCGTGCTGTATCCACTGGAGCAGTGGAGAGAGTCCCTGCTGCTCCTCTGGGCGTCCGAACCCAACGCACCCAACGTCAACAGCTGATCACGGGCCGAGCAAGACTGAGCGCGAGAGAGAGAGAGTTTACTTTAATGCAGTTTAATTCATAATTTTACACATTTAATTACAGGCTTCATAGAAAGAAATAAAGAAAGGAAACAAGGAGAGAATATAGGAGAGAGGAGTCGAATAAAAAGTGGAGGGGAAAACAAGGGGAGGAGCCAAGGACAGTAGAGGAACCATAAAAAGGGGAACCAAGGAAAGGAGACACGAGGTGAAGGAGAGGGGACATTTGAGGAAACATGGAGAAAAGGGAGTGAAGGAAAGGAAACAGAACAAGGAGAGGAAACGGGAGTAGAGATATTGAAGGAAAGGAAAGCAAGAAAGGGAATAAGCGGCAGGAGAAGGAGTGTGTGTGTGTGTGTGTGTGTGTGTGTGAGTGTGTGAGTGCGTGTGCATGTGTGTGAGTGTGTATGTGTGTGAGTGAGTGAGCGTGTGCATGTGTGTGTGTGAGTGTGAGTGTGAGTGTGAGTGTGAGTGTGAGTGTGAGTGTGAGTGAGTGTGTGTGCGTGTGCGTGTGCGTGTGCGTGTCTGAGTGTGTGTGTTACCTTCCCAGATGCAGACATGGCTCTGGCTCTCTCTCCATGGTGTGTGTAGGCGTTTTGTGGGGGGGCCAGGAGGCCGTTCTCTGTCCCCATGCTACCACCAGCTGCGAGCTGATTGGTCGAGCCCATTGAGTCCTACAGGAACCAGGAAGTGAACATTTGAATACACCCGAGATGTCAGAGTTTCACATAAAAAAACACACACACACACACCCCTCATTACACCACTGTACCTGTGATGCAATAACACACAGTTCACATAACGTCGATATTATTTGAAATCCAGTGTTGAGGGTAGTGTGTCCAATTTAAATGATGTGTTTCCCCTTTTCCTCCAGCCAATTCATAATGAAAGTGAATAATGTGGTTGGTATGACTGACTTGATGCACCGTATAGCTTTAGGTAATAAAAAGCTACCATTATAACCCTTTATTAGTCTTTAAAATGACTCTTAATTAGTCATTTGGAGACTACAGGATAAAGAAATATTAAAAGAACTAGTCCAATACATATGAAAGACAAACAAAGTGTCACACGAAGATGGAAACGGACGAAACACACAAATAAAACAAAAAATACACCATAAATAAAATCACAGTCACACAAGCAATTCATCAGTTTACACATGAACACACCACATTGTTATGGACTGTATTTTATGGGATGGATCTGGACATGTGGAGGTGAGACCTGACGCGAAACACGGGGGGATAATACGGTGAAACACGGAGAGGATGTGAGATGCAGATCTGATCCGATGGGAGACAGACGGTGATAAATATTAATATGTATTTTCTCACGGAGGCGTTATCTCTGCGGCTAACACGGCGGCCTGAGCGTGGGGCGTTGGCCTGTGATGGCGTGGCCTGTGTAACCGTAGCGACCGCGGCTGCCGTGGCGACCGAGGCGGTTCGGAGAGTTCCCCTCGCTGAGGGAGCGGCCGACCTCCTGACCAATGAGAAGGAAGGGGGAGGAGCAACGCTACACAGGAGAGGGGAGGCTTTTATTTAAAAAAATCCTCAATGCTAAACGTGTCATATTTTTTAAAGTAAGGGTGTGTGGGGGGGTTGAGATTGATTAGGGAAAATGTTACTTAAAGATATGAAACTTATTCAAAGAGTATTAACATTTTAGTGGACATTAAGTTATAAATGATAAGAGATAAACTCAAGTTATGAAGTTTTCTGTGCAGCATGAATACCTTTTTTGATGGGGGGGCATAAATGAATCAGCAGTCCAGTTTTTAAGTTTAAAAGCACATTTCTGGACAGGTTGATGTAAAAAAAAAAATAAGATATTTTCATGGAGAGACAGTTAATAACACATATTTACTAAAATAGACTTAGGAATATATATAAGTAAACATTTTAATTAAATAACAGAACAAATCTGTATTAAAAAAATATTAAAAAGAATAATTAAAAAAGGGAAATAAATAATAAGAAAAATGTATAAGGAAACTAGATAAATAACAAATAACATAATAAAAATTACATAAACAAAGACAGTTTAATTAAGTGTAAAAACTACGGCCATTAATCTAATGCTATTTCAGACTCCTGTTATAAAATATGATGGTGTGTTTTAGTTTTCTATTTGTTGAAACAAAGAGCTTATTCCAAGAAAAACAAACCCAGATCTAAAGTACACTGAAGTACGTTATGTCCGCTAATTCTGTGTCTATAACATGCTGAGTTTTAATAACCGATGTGTGTGTGTGTGTGTGTTACCTGGATGTGAACTCCATCTACTTCACAGCTGATTGAGTCCAAGGAGGGAACGTGTCTCACTGATCCAGACTGGTAGTTACTACACACACACACACACACACACACACACACACACACACACACACACACACACACACACACACACACACCACACACACACACACACACACACACACACACACACACACACACACACACACCACACACACACACACACACACACACACACACACACACACACACACACACACACACACACACACACACACACACACACACACACACACACACACACACACACACACACACACACACACACACACACACACACACACACACACACACACACACAGGAATCATTAATTTTAGGGTGAAGACTTGGTTAGGGTTAGGCATGTGTTGGTTAAGGTTAGTATAAGGCTCCAGGAAATGCAAGTAAGTCAATGTAATGTCCCCTGAAGTGATGTATACATGGTATGTGTGTGTGTGTGTCTGTGTGTGTGTGTGTGTGTGTTACCTGCTGATGCTGCTCTTCCTGGACAGGGTGTTGCTGGGAGAAGCTGGAGGAGTCTGATAGCTGTAGTTAAAGTCTGAGCCTTTCAGGTCCAGAATCACCTGAAAAACCACAAAAAGTAAGAGGTTTCAGACGAACTTCTCTAACCTCGTTCATGAAAAATCTATTAAAAAAAACGAAATACGTGTAAATGTAAAAAGATGTTTAAGAGAGTCACCTGCTCGCTGGCTGCTGGGAGTTTATTGGGTTCAGCTGTCAGGTTGCTCAGATCTTCCAGAATAGTCTGCAGGTGAGTCACCTCCCCCAGCATGTTGATCTCATGGTCCTGCGCACACACACACACACATTAGTAATTATTCCATTCAACAAGCTTTAAAGACATTATACACACACACTCTCACCAGCACGGGCTTCAGCATGCTGACGAAGCTGCAGTATCTGGAGCGCTCCTCGATCAGAGCTCTGCACACCGCCCTCTTCTCCATCTCCTCCAGCACGGCGTAACGAACGTTCACGTCCTGCAGAGCGCTGTCCAGCTGCAGGCGCACCTCCCCTTTACCTGCACACACACACACACACACACACAATAAGGTTAAGTTTCTTAATTTTCACATTGATTTTGTATTCATTGCTTCAAATCAATCAGGGGATTTTATTCTAGATTGACAGTTTAGTCAGTATCACAAAAGTCTAAAGCAGGGGGGTCAAACTCAAATACACAGTGGGCCAAAATTATAAAATGGGTACTAGTCGAGGGCCGGACTGGTTCAATGTTTATTGCAAAACTTATTGAAATGAACTTATTGCACATATTAAACCTGGAACTAACAAAGCTTAAATGATTGCCTATAAAAACAACATTAAACATTAAATAATCAGTTGCATTCATTTCTTATGATTACATTTCTCCACAGGCCAACAACAGCTTCAACAAAACTATTTCCCTCAAAGAACAAACCAAACATGCCCTGTTGTCGTGAGAGACAAAGTGCAGAAGGAAACATGTAAACTCAGTGTGCTGCTCTGTGATGCTAGTTCAGATACTTGGCATCTCATCTTGGGTGCAAGGTCATCAATGTTTGGGGCTCAGGCTCTGAGCTGAGGAGACCCTCAGGATGGAGTGAAGGTGTGCGTGCAATATACCGGCGGGCCAGATCTAATAGTAATTAGAAATGATCCTGCGGGCCGAAATTAAATCCACCAAGGGCCTGATTTGGCCCCCGGGCCTTGAGTTTGACACATGTGCTCTAAGGTGATGGCTTTAACTGCCTGGTTTTGTCCGTCTAAAATAGAGATATTCACTTGAATGTGATATACAACAGGAAAGCAGCATATCTGACCTCAATGCAAATTACTTTGAGATTTTTTAAAAATAGTTTCTGATTATTTTTATGTCTATAATAGTATCATCGTTGCAGCTCTAATGTAAGATTAACACTGAGGCTGTAATACTCAGATCCCACCAGCAGGGGGCAGCACAACACTGCACATCACCACAGTGTTTAGATGGGAAACCGTTTAAAACCAGCTGATCTGATGGTGATACTGGGAGGGAACTCATTGGAATAAAACAAAAAAAACACTATTTCTGATGTGATTTACTACAATGACTTAAACTAAACCCGAACAAACTAATCAACTCAAATAAATCAACTCTTTCTTAGACGGACACAACTTCTTTTAACACCAATCAAGAGAACGGTTGTGGAGACGTCTGATTCTAAAGACATGTTGAAGATTGAAAAGTGAAAATATGTTGGGTTTTTTGAAGTAGGTTTTTTTTGCTTCCCTGTAGTGTATTATATACGTTTGTGTGCATGTAAATGGTCTGCAAAGACTCGAATCCCTGTGTTCTCTCCCCCCTTGCCTGAAAACCCCTCCATTGGACTCCTTTGTTTACTTCCTGAACATAGTGACATCACTATAGGTGAGGTGCTGCAGCACAGGCAGTATGAGACAAATAAGAGCTTATTGAACATTAAAGCATGGAGACATGTAGAGACACTACATACTGATATACACCTGAACATCAGCAGGAGAGGACTCTTTAAAGTAGAGACACTACATACTGATATACACCTGAACATCAGCAGGAGAGGACTCTTTAAAGTAGAGACACTACATACTGAGTATACACCTGAACATCAGCAGGAGAGGACTCTTTAAAGTAGAGACACTACATACTGATATACACCTGAACATCAGCAGGAGAGGACTCTTTAAAGTAGAGACACTACATACTGATATACACCTGAACATCAGCAGGAGAGGACTCTTTAAAGTAGAGACACTACATACTGATATACACCTGAACATCAGCAGGAGAGGACTCTTTTAAAGTAGAGACACTACATATTGATATACACCTGAAACATCAGCAGGAGAGGACTCTTTAAAGTAGAGACACTACATACTGATATACACCTGAACATCAGCAGGAGAGGACTCTTTAAAGTAGAGACACTACATACTGATATACACCTGAACATCAGCAGGAGAGGACTCTTTTAAAGTAGAGACACTACATACTGATATACACCCTGAACATCAGCAGGAGAGGACTCTTTAAAGTAGAGACACTACATATTGATATACACCTGAACATCAGCAGGAGAGGACTCTTTAAAGTAGAGACACTACATACTGATATACACCCTGAACATCAGCAGGAGAGGACTCTTTAAAGTAGAGACACTACATACTGATATACACCTGAACATCAGCAGGAGAGGACTCTTTAAAGTAGATACACTACATACTGATATACACCTGAACATCAGCAGGAGAGGACTCTTTAAAGTAGAGACACTACATACTGATATTACACCTGAACATCAGCAGGAGAGTACTCTTTAAAGTAGAGACACTACATACTGATATACACCTGAACATCAGCAGGAGAGGACTCTTTAAAGTAGAGACACTACATACTGATATACACCTGAACATCAGCAGGAGAGGACTCTTTAAAGTAGAGACACTACATACTGATATACACCTGAACATCAGCAAGAGAGGACTCTTTAAAGTAGAGACACTACATACTGATATACACCTGAACATCAGCAGGAGAGGACTCTTTAAAGTAGAGACACTACATACTGATATACACCTGAACATCAGCAGGAGAGGACTCTTTAAAGTAGAGACACTACATACTGATATGAGCTGAAAATGTGATAGGGCTCCTTTAGGTAATCACCTTGTACTTGAGAAGCTGGGATGGTAATTTTGTTCGATCTTCTGATATAAATAAAGTTATGGGCATCTGATTTCTGAAACCTCTGTCTCGCGGTGTTTCAGATAGGGGTGCAAGCAAACACGGGTGAAAAGAAACCGGCGGGCTAACGCGAAGAGACAGGAAAACAGAGACAGGTGATCCTGGTGGAAAACAGCGAGAAGGACACACACACTACACACACACACACAACCACACACACACACACACCACACACACACCACACACACACACACACACACACACACACAACACCACACACACACACACACACACACACACACACACACACACACACACACCACACACACACACACACACCACACACACACACACACACACACACACACACACACACACACACACACACACACACACACACCACACACACACACACACACACACACACACACACACACACACAGGTGTGTGTGGCCTCTGTGGAAACACACAGACAGGCTCGTGTTGACGGTCTGTTTCTACACGGATCTGGCTCGACACCCACAACAACACAAAGACAAGAACTCAGAGTCTGAGGAGGTGAAACTCGGTTCAGACGAACAACAGCTGGGAACACGTCCCGAAATAATATAACCTCATGTCTCCAAATATTAGTTCATAGGAGCTACTTTCATTATCACTCTTAATGATTAAAGAGTGCAGCCGTCTTTCAACCAGAAGGACTAACTACTTCAACTGTTTAAAGCTTTATACAAATCTATTTTAGCTTTTTTTTTTGTGTAGTCTCACAAGCTGCAATTGGTCCTAAATCGTGCTACTTGGGTGACTGTGGCTGTGAGGGACTGCGTGTTTTAACCAGAAGGTTGTTGGTTCGATCCCCTCAGTCAACATGTCGATGTATCCTTGGGCAAGATACTGAACCCTGAGTTGCTCCTGATGGCCAACGGTTGTGTGTGTGTGTGTGTGTGTGTGTGTGTGTGTGTGTGTGTGTGTGTGTGTCAACCTGCAACACATCCTCCAAATCAAGGTGAACTTCAAATATCCTTTGGGTGTTAAATGTCCGTTGTTTCTCCGAGTTTATTAGCATTTGGAAACTTTCCTCACGTGGCATCTATTGATTGCTTAAAAGTCTGTGTGTTGTTGTTGTTGTTGTTGTGATGGATACAGATGAGGGTAAAACAACGTGATGACACATTAACGCTTTTGCCTCGGCGATATTTAATGTGCTGACGTCTGCGTTAGACAACGTGTTTCTTATCACGCTGACTCACGTGCAGCTGTCTGAGAGATACACTTCTGCTTTATAAACATTATTCATCACGACGTCTAGACTGCCTGCGTCACACACTGATGACATCATCACATCACTGACATATTCACATGTCACACTGCACTGTCACTTTATTCATGTCTTTTTTTCCTATGTTATTCATGTTTATTTCCGCTGCACTATTTCTTAATGCTCTTAATGTCTTTTATTTTTGTAAGCACTTTTGAATGCTTTGTGTTGAAAGGCGCTGTATAAATATACTTGCCTTGAAGGTAAGAGTCTTTTTACTTTGGTGCATTCACTCTCTGTTCTGTAAAGTTAGTGTTGGGGCAAAGGTAGATTATAACAAAGTGTTTATATCTGGTCTTGTAAAATACAGTTTTCTTTGCTATTAACTCAAATAAATACAGTTTTAACAGCATTTCATGTTTATTTAGCGTACATGAATTGTGTTTAAACTTTAAATGCATTTTAACAATTCACATGTTTCCTCATTAATTCAAACTTAAGGCAACAGCACACGTGTTTAAAGGAAAGACATACAGATAAACCCAAATCATCTTTATGTCTCTGTGTTCCCTCTCCTCCCATCACCCTCTCCTCCAGCACCTCTCCTCCCATCACCTCTCCTCCCATCACCCTCTCCTCCCATCATCCTCTCCTCCCATCACCCTCTCCTCCCATCACCCTCTCCTCCCATCACCCTCTCCTCCCATCACCCTCTCCTCCCATCATCCTCTCCTCCCATCATCCTCTCTGAGCAGATTCCCCATGTGAAGTGGTTGCACACCACATGATGACAGAGCACACACACACACGGACAGGATGTGTGTGGTTATGTTATGTCTTTGCACTACCGACACCGGGAGACGGACTGAAGTGAACTTTGAGACAAGAAGAATAAATCTGAGACTCGTGAGAGTTTCAGAGTTTAAACAAAGGATAAAATAGAATAAATCAGTCCGAAATAGAGATTAATGTTAGTGTCACTGTGTGTATTACACGCGCACGCGCGCGCACGCGCGCCCGCACACACACACCACACACACACACACACACACCACACACACACACCACACATACGTGTTTA